CATAACTAGGGCTAAAATAGCATCAAACATGATTGTTAGACCTCTCTGGCCACACACCATTTCAATTTACTTAATTACCCTAATTAAGTTTAATTAATAAGGTAATTAAAACTCGAGATGTTACAGATAGAGCCCTATCTAATGTTATAGCCCATGGTTTCAATCAGAGGAAATCAGAAGGGTATAAAGTTGGTTAATCATTGCCCATGTAGACTTATGATGTGTCACATGATTGTGATGTGGCAAGTTGCATGGATAATGGGTCATGATCACATGTCTAAATGTATTATGACAATATACCTAATGTATGTGAGATGTAAATGGGTTAAAGGTATATTGATAAATTTTGATATGTGGTTGAACATGGTTTAAGAATTTATTTTCATATGCATATGTTTAATTTACAATTGATATATAACTGTATAAGGTAGGTTTTACCTTGGTTACTGAGTAGCAAGACTTACCCTTTTTCTTTAACATTTTGAAGCTTTAGCTCTGGTACTAAGAGGGACATAGCTACTAAGGCCTAGGAATCTGTGTATTCCTTTAGTATGCCTCTTGTATCTATTTATTTTATATAGTAAAATATGATTGCTAATTCTAGGTTGCATAGCGTTGTACTTGTACCATTTTATTGTTGCAAATATTTGAATTGTATTTTGGCCCTTGAGTAATTGTGTATGATGACATATATATATATATATATATGTTGATAAGGCAAAGATACTAGTGCAAGTGTATAAATAATGTTTTGAATATGTTTAGATTGGTTTTAATGCAATGAAATGAAAATTTGCTCCCTTTTTGTTTTTGGCGAAAAAGGGGTTAAGGAGTGATTTTGTGTTTTAATGGTAATTAAGTGCGTGTGACGTGTTGTATTGATAGTCCTAGGTTTAATGGATATGATTTGCTTGTTAGGAATAGCTTTTGACACTTGTTTATGAGTTTTGGACACCATTTTTGTGTGAAAGTTGTAAAAGGTGGTAAAAATGTATTTGAGTATCTAACTTCTTGGTGTGACTTATTTTAAAAATGAAACCCATGCCATTAATTAGTTTATAGAAAGAGATTTTCATAGATACCTATATCAAGTCATTCAGACGTCAGATAGAGAATTAGGTTACATTGAAAGTTCCTTGATTCTACTATCTGCTATCATTTGCATCCAACATACTATGGTGTAGAGTGCTTGAGTCATGGCGCATGGCATAGAGAGTAACACACCGCGGTGCAGCGTGTACGAGCCACGACACATTATCCTATATCATAGCAAACTTATTGATTTTCAACTATTTTCATTCTTTTTCACTCCTCTGATATATCCTATGCTTCCATAACTTATTTTCACTATAATATAAGAAATTATGATTGATTTAGACTCTTTTTTATTAAGAAAAATTAGTATTCCTTGATTTTGAATTAAAATTTGGTAATCACCTTTATGGGTTAATCCTTTGATTACCATAAGTTTATTTAATTAATTGTGTTTAGTAGTGAGGGATTTTACATTCCCAATTCCAATGGTCACTACCAATATCACGTGGATTTAAACAATTACTTCCTCCTTATGCGAACTCTCACTAATGATCATGCCATGCACAACTCACATGTTTATGCATCCACTCAACTAATTCATGTCATATTAATTTTGCAAACCCAAACTCATGTATTCCACAAATCGCATATCAATTAGCCATTTTTACAACACGCTATCAATTGAAAATAACAATCATTCATAGATAGCATGCATAAGGGTTTCATTTTTAAAATAATTCCACAACTTCACAAGTTCAACATTTGCCACAAATTGCATCAATAGTTTCAAAATATAATTCATAATTCAAATCAACCCCTTTTTAACAAATAATTAATTAATATTCAACTATATAAATTAGGTTTTTCTCGGTTACTTTAAACCTTTGAGAGGTCAAAGGTTTACCCCTCTAAATATCAACTTCCAAAGTTTCTCATAAGTTTGAATGATGCCAATAACAATGATCTACAATTAAAACATAAGGATATTGTCATTATCCTATTTTATGGGTTTACTAACATTAATCTTCACATTCTTTATTCTATCAATCTCATAATTTACCATGTATTCATACCCAATGGATTCACTAGGTTTCATTGACTCACCTTACTACCATTGAGTATTTAAACAACCATTAATGAGCCTTAAACACTCCCAACAATCATATTAATTACAAAATTTGCATAAAAATAACTTACCCTAACTAACTCTTAATAAAATCATTAATGTAGGGTTTATCTACCATAAACAATTCTCATTGTATTCATTTTAACAAATAGGTTCAGATCCATAGCTCTTATGGACCAAAAATTAATTTTGCAGCTCAACTTTAACTCAAATCTTTACAAATATGGGGGAGAAATGAAGAGAGATGCATAAACTACCTACCTTAGGTATTGAAAAGCTTCAAACTATCATCAACAATCATTAAGGTCACACCTCAGTAGAGTATTGGGCGTGTTCTTTGTTTTCTCCCTTCACTCTTCTTTGATTCACATGCAAAAGGCAACTAATAAAGTTAAGATTTTGGCTATGTGCCGTAGCACACGCAGCCTCCCATTGTGATACATGGCACAAAAAAGCTTGTTACATTTAAATCTGCCTATGTGCACCACGGTGGATTGATCACATGCCATGGCATCTGGCATAAAGGGCTTCCTCTTACTTCTTCTTTCTCTTTTCTTGCCCGGGTGGCCTGACTTCATTTCAGATTCACTTTTAGGGCTGTAATCATAATTAATTACACCAATTAGGCCCATTTGGCCACACATCTCATTAATGCACTAATTACACTTATTAGGTTAATAAATCATGCTTAATTTTCTCAGATGTTCCACTTTAGCCTCTTGATTTAATGTGTGTGTATATATATACATGAAGTAATCTTCAATGTCTAACTTGCTACCAATGACTCAAATCTTAGTTGTAACCAGTAAAGATAAAGAGGTAGCACCGCTTTTGGAAATAGACAAGTAGGTCTCCAAAAGTGGATGCGATCTTATATTAAAGGCCAGATCAAAGTCTTTGTTGGGCTTTTGGATTAGATTTGGAGAGTGTAGTTTTTAGTAGCAAAATAAAGTTTAAATGAAACTATGGTAAAATTGCCCACAAATCTTTCTTAGAAATTTTGTTTATAAATCAAGTCCAGCTTAAAAAAAATCAATGACTGCCTTGTTTGGATTGATTAAAATAGACTAAAAAATGACAAGTTCTTTTTTGTCATTATTTTGTTCATAAGTCAAGTACAACTACTTAAAGCTTAGGCACCATTTGGGTATTGCACTTTTCACATCCTAAAAGTATTTTCTCACTTTTGAGATGTGAAAAGTTGTTTGGGTATAATTTAAAAAGATTAAATGTGCTTTCTGAAAGCTCTTCTGGGATGAGCTAAATGTGCTTTTTTAAAAGCTACATTTTGTTACTTTTAAAAAGTATGATCTTATTTGACTATACTATCCTAAATTTAATCTCTTATTTTTTATTTAAAAAATAGTTAATTCATTAAAAAATATAATTATCATTTAAATAATAATAATAATAATAATAATTAAATATCAAGTTTTTAGCATTATAAATTAAATAATTAATTATGTTAATTTTTAGCATTAATGTATAATAAAAATAATAAATCTTTATCACATTTTTTTAAAATTACAAATTTTAAAAGTACAAATAATTAAAGATCAAGTTTTTAACATTATAAATCAAATTTTATATTATTTAAAATATTTATCATATTTTTTAAATATTTTAAATATATTACATTTGTATACCAAAAATTACAAATTATCGTAAGTTAATATTCTTTTTGGTAATTGTACATTCAAAACCACATTTCACCATCATAATTCAAACAACTTTTAGTGTTTTAAACTGGCTTTTGAAAAAATATATTCAAATATAAATTAAATTTTGTCACAATAACTGACTTTCATTATACTAACTTTTGTCAAATGAATTTTTACTAAATGAATTTTTGACAAATTAAAAAACAAACACACACTTAGTGACATTGAAAAATGATTACTTTGTTTAAAGAAATGACTACAGTTGAATAGTAAATGATAAGTACTTCTCTGCAAAATAATTTGTTTATCAATCAAGTCCAACTAAAAGAAATCAATAACCACTTTGTTTGAGCTATTAACTAAAAGAAAACAAATTAAAAATGAGAAGTTGTTTTCTTCCATTTTTATTTATAATGCAAATATGAAAAATCAGTTATTAGTTATGATTTGAACATGGGTTAATGTACATTTTTGCCTGATATATTTCTCAAGGAGTATTCAATACCGTAAAGTTTTTTTGGAACAAATTTACCCTTAAAGTTATTAAAATGTAACATTTTTATTTCCATTGAAATTTTAACGTTGATCTCAAACGTTGATTGTTAGAAAATTTGATGGAAATGGCAAAAATGCTCAAAATTAATAACTTTAGGGGCAAAATTGTTCCAACAAAAATTTTAAGATATTGGGTGTTTCTCGAAAAATATATCAAGAGCAAAAATACATCTTTATCCTTTGAAAATTACTATTTTGTTTAAAGGAGTGATTACAATTGAATAGAAAATGACAAGCATCTTTTTGCACATTTTTAATTGGAGGCAAATAATTATTACATTTTGCAGTATCTATTTGTCATTTGCATATCTCGACGTATTTTTTTTCCATTCTCCCTAATTAAAATTCTGTTGTTAAGAAATCTTTATAATAAGAACTAAGAAGTAATTGACTTTTTTTCTTTCAAATATTATATCGTTGTAAAGTTTTTAAATATGTTGCACAGGAATAAATTAAAACTAGTTTACCAATAATAACATGGTAAAAGATCTACATCTACTATCTAGAATAGAAAACACAATTGAGAAAGTAGGTACGTATTGATGCTAGCAGAAGACATGCGTCTTTTGTTTGCCAATGTAAATTGTTAATTAATGTCACATTTTCACCGTCAACAACAAATATAAAGAAAGCATAAGATCAAAGTGATCAATTTAATTCCACATCCATGAACAGGTCTTAGATATCAGATCTTCCAAGACATGATGATAGTCATTATTATTTCGAACCCTAATCCCAATAATCACCAAAACTAACAACAAGAAGGCCACCATGAATGCAATCAAGCTCCGCCCTAGTAGGTTCTTATGCTTTGCAAGCAGATCACCAGATGAAACTTTTTGAGCTTTTGTCATGGCTTTCGGAAGCTTGATATATAGCTTCCCATCCTCAAACTTAGCACCTATCTGATTGATGTCTATATCCCTTGGTACTGAGAATTCTTTGTGAAACCGACGTAGAACTGATCCCTTGTCTTCGGCCACCTGCTGTTCACCACTCACCTTCAGCACATGGTTTGATGTTATTTGAACCTTCATTTCCTCTTTACTAAATCCTGCATATTTACAAATGTATAATAATTTTTTTTTGATAATGAAACTGTTCACCCTTTGAATTTGCTTTTATTATTAAATTTAATTTTTATCAATTTAATTCTTTATGTAATTGTTTTAGTTATCAATTTGATCCTTATTATTTAAAGAGGAAGGATGTATTGATGTTAGCTAGATTACATATTAATGAAAAGAACTACTTTCTCTATTAAAAAATTTAAGATATTTTTAATCAAATTTTACCTTCTAATAGAGTAGTTGTTCGTGGTAGTTATATATTTTCAAACTAATCCCATCTTTATATATTTACCCCTATTAAACATCTTATAATAAATATAAAATCATTCATCACTAGGGGCACTTTTAAAAAAAGATAATAATTATACCTCGAAAGATTAAAAATATCTTATGTTTTTAAACATCCAACTCCTAAAAAAAAATGGCTTACATTTTTGAATAGAGGGAGTAATTTTTTTCAATAAAAGAACAAAGCAGAACATAAGTGGATTGGATTAATAAAACTTAAATTGATTTAAAAGCTAATTTATTTTCATTTAACCACATATATATATCAAGTCATTAATATAATTTATACATTAGATTAATGGTCAATTTTTGTTTTGAAATTTAAAGGATTAAAATGATAATTTAAAAATAAAAATATGAGAAACCAAATTGTTATGAGAGGCCAAATTTATAATGGAAGGAAACTGAAGTTTCCATATCCTATAATGGGGACAATTACAATTTCAATTTTTTTTTTCCAAGTTAGTATCTTGTTTGGACTTCATATGGTGCAAAATTATTCTTTGGAAAATGTAATATTCTTAATTTTATTACTTAAAGTTTCAAGACGTTTTCTCTTCTTTCTGGCTCCCACGAGTCAGATTTCTCATATGGCTGCATTAACATAACTCATTAAAAGAACTCAAAAAACCCTGGTTTTAAATTAAAAAAGAAAAAGAAAAAGAGGGAAAAAAAAAAAAGAGAGAGAGAGAGAGTATGGAAAGGATGGAACCTGAAAGCAGAAAAACAAGCGTGTCACTTTGTTCTCCATGAATCCAATTAATAGTTGGTTCCAAATCCTCATATACGCTCTCTCTCATTGCCTTCGAACTCATGATTTGTGCCTCTTCCTTGATTATACGTTGCTATTGGAAATTGAAAGCTCCATATATATATGAAGTTATACTTGTGTTTGTGTTTTCTTTGAACTTGAGTCTTATCTTCCTTTTCGTACAGACATGGTTTCAGGTTTTTACGCATTCCGGTAGCATCAAACGCTAGAAAACTTTGTATGATTGGAAACACAGATTCTATCTTTCTCCCTTCTCTGTCGATGAATTCCCCCTCAAGACTTATGTGATTCTTTTTTTTAATATAAAATGTATTTTTTTAAAAATAATATATGAAAAGCATAGGAAAAACAAAAGATGTACACATAGTTAAAAAAATATAAAACATTTTTTAGGAATTTGATATTAAAAAAATGTAAGATATTTTTAATGTTTGAATCTATAATTAATGTATTTTTTAAAAATACCTTTAATATTAGATTTATTTATAAATGAAATATTATGCTAAATAAAGATAAATATAAAAATATAATATTAGTTTAAAGATAATTAATTAATTTATTGGAGGTGAGACTTTATTAAAAATATTTTATATTTTTGAATAGAGGAAGTTCTTTTCCTTTTATTGTTGTTATATATTAATCTATTTATTTACATCTCTACATAAATAATACTTTTTTTGGTCTAAAATATAAGTATTTTTTTAACTAATATTAATTTAAAATATAAAAAATTTAGTATATGTAAAAAAATTATTTTATTTCTTATATTTATTAATTTAGATATTTATTTTTATAAATATATTTTTCACTCATTGCATTAGAGGTAAAAAGAATTTAACGTTATCTTATTTGATTTTGTTAGAGGAGAGAAATTTTTAATAATTCTTTATTTGATTTAAGAGGAAAGGGGAGGAAAGATAATAATTAATTTACTATTATATCCTTATATTCTAGTTTAAAAATTTTTTAATTTTTTTAATAGAAAATAATTTTATATTTCAATTTAAATTGCATAATTTTTTAAAAATTCACTCTCATCCTATCATATTATCAACATGTAAAAAAATAAATTAATAATTATAATGATAATAATTTTTTATAAAAAATAACTAAATATATAATAAAATATGATGAAATGTAACTTATTTTTTAAAAAATCTAATGAGATTAATTGAGGTTTGAGAGTGAAAGAGAATTCTTTTAATTATGAGTATATTTATAATATTAAAAATTAAATAAAGATAAAATAGTAAAAAAAATTAACTCCATTTTAAAAAACTTCAATTTAGAGAGGGGCAATGGAGGGCCTTCCTAAATTTCTTAATCAAGTAAGCCCCTTTCCTTCCCTGTAAAAACCCCAACCAAACACACTAAAGTTAAAACGCTTTCAAGCGAGGGAGATGACACCTTACAGTTACAGCTAGCTCTTAACTAGATCTATCGGTGCAGGCTATTTTTGAGTCTGAAGTTATTTTAAAACACGAGGGATCTGGATCCTATAAAAAGAAATGTCTAGTAAAGAAAAGAGTGAAAACTGAGAATCTGAAGAATTCAGGTCCCGAATCCATGGACTCTGGAGGAGTTGAGGGGACCATGTGATGTGACGTTGGGGCAAGTGCAATGACGAAGCCAATCCAAAAGATGTCGCACGTGGCTTTCAAAGCTTGCATTGTTATTGAATGCTCTGTTGTAGCAACTCGCAAGAATCCACGCCGTTGGCAAAATAAAAGAAAAAGAAAAAGAAGAAAAGAATCCCAGCATGGATGGGAATTGGTTGACGGTGACATGATCTATCCTTACACTGTGTGCACCATTCGGTGCCTCCAGAGGAATGGCGGCGATCAACCGAGAAACAACGGCGAATCTGGTTTTCGCTGTTAATGGAGTGAGGTTTGAGCTCTCTGAGCTCGACCCCTCAACTACTTTGCTTGAGTTCCTCCGCAGTCGGACTCGCTTCAAGAGTGTCAAGCTTGGCTGTGGTGAAGGTCAGTTTGTTTTAACCCTCTCTGAGTATTTTGTGTTTATAGTTTATAGTTGAATTAGTTAGCTTCTATGGTGGTCACTCTCGCCGGAAGATTCCTTCTGCTTTCAATTTTGGGATTTTCTTGTCTTCCTCTTGTAATCTGTTGTTTGATCATGTTTTTTGGGATTTTTTTTTTTTACTCTTTTTAGGTGCACGGGGTGAAATCCTATCAGAGTATGATAGTTTTCTTAAAGCTGTGAGTTTAGCCAGCACTCATTTGTTTTTTAACGTACTCGAGTGCTTGCACTCAGTGTAATATGTTCCTGATATGAATGATAGCAGAAGATTGCTTCTTGCACTTGAAATTTTTTTCTTCCTTCTTTTTTAACGGATGTTATCACAAACCCTTGATAACTTTTGTGATTTCTAATGGTTTGTCCATGCCATAAAATAAATTATTTGAAATTTGGCTTGCCTCTAAAAACTTTTTTTGTTCTCCATTTAACCAGTAAAATGTTCCTGGCCCAATGTACAGTGATATTCAATTTTTCTTTTTCGAAATAAAAACATGGCCTGAAAAGATATACAATATGTGCGTATTTAAAAATATCATTTTAATGAATAGTAAATGAATACTGATAGATACTCTGGTTTAACGGTGATGTCAAATAAATGAATATTAAATACTTAGTGATGGATGATTTTGATCTTATCCAGTATATGGATATTGATTGTATGAGCTTTTATTAATTGGACATCACTCTTATTGAAACATGTTTCATTGCGATCATTGTTCGGGAAACTAGGATACAACTGCACCACTGATTCAATGCTTTTATTATTTCGCTATACGAAGACTTTCTTGTAAAATAGATGTTATTTATCTCATACTTTAAAAGGAAAAAGAAACAAGAAATCATCCTATTATGTTTTCAGGTTCTTTTTTTTTTTTTAAGTTTAATGAGCACTAAGGACAAAGGTGGTCTCTTGTAGTATTTTGATGTTTCTTCCATCAATGTGTTGATTTTGTTTAACTTGCAATTGTTCTTCTTGTTACTTCATTTCTGACCATAATTGGTTTCAGGTGGTTGTGGCGCTTGTGTTGTTTTAATCTCCAAATATGATCCTGTGCTTGACCAAGTAATTGATTTTACGGCAAGTTCTTGTCTCACTCTACTTTGTAGCGTACACGGGTGTTCAATAACAACAAGTGAAGGCATTGGAAATAGTAAAGAGGGATTCCATCCAATTCATGAAAGATTTGCAGGATTCCATTCCACTCAATGTGGCTTTTGTACTCCTGGGATGTGTGTTTCTCTCTTTGGGGCTCTGGTCAATGCTGAAAAGACCAATCGCCCAGATTCTCCTTCTGGGTTCTCAAAAGTGACAGTTAATGAGGCTGAAAAGGCTATTTCAGGGAACCTTTGTCGTTGTACAGGCTATCGATCCATTGCTGATGCCTGCAAAAGCTTTGCAGCTGATGTTGATATGGAGGATTTGGGGCTGAACTCATTTTGGAAAATGGGAGAGACCAAGGATGTAATGCTTAGTAGGTTGCCGCACTATGACCATAATCATAAAAATAAAACATTTCCAATGTTTTTGAAGAATGAAATCAAGCCTGATGTATTCTCATTTTCTAAAAGACAAAGTTGGCATAATCCTACTAATCTAGAGGAACTTCAGACTTTATTATTAGACACAAACCAGGTTGTTGGAACCAAGATAAAACTAGTGGTTGGTAATACTGGTACGGGTTACTACAGAGACATACAAGACTTTGATATGTACATTGATTTAAGTGGCATTTTTGAGCTCTCGAAGATCAGAAAGGATGCATCAGGGATTGAAATTGGAGCAGCAGTCACAATATCTAAAGCCATTGAAGCTCTAAAGCAAGAGGGAAGAAGTGGATTTCTTGAGGAGTTTGGGATGGTACTTGACAAAATTGCTGATCATATGAGTAAAATTGCATCAGGGTTTATTCGGAATACAGCCAGTGTAGGTGGTAATTTAGTAATGGCACAAAAGAGCAATTTTCCTTCAGATATGGCTGCAATACTTCTTTCTGTGGATGCAGTGGTGCACGTATGGACCAGTGGACACTTCGAATGGCTTTCATTAGAGGAGTTCCTGGAAAGACCACCATTAGGTTTGGGGAGTGTGCTTTTAAGTGTTAAAATCCCAAGTTGGGATTCCATTAAAAATGATTCTTCAGAACACACAACTAAATTCTTCTTTGAAACATTCCGAGCTGCTCCTCGACCCCTTGGAAATGCCTTGCCCTATTTAAGTGCTGCTTTCTTGGCTGAGGTTTCTCCATGCAATGAATCTGGTGGGACCAGGATTGATTTTTGTAGGCTGTCTTTTGGCACCTATGGAACTATGCATGCAGTTAGAGCGAAAATGGTTGAGGAACTACTAGTAGGGAAGCTGCTAGATGTTGGGATTTTATATGAAGCTGTCAACTTGCTTAAGGCCACTGTAGTACCTGAAGATGCAACCTCAGGGGCTGCTTATCGAGAAAGCTTGGCGGCTGGTTTTCTTTATGATTTCTTTAATCCCTTGATTGAAAGTTCTGCTGAAATCTTCAAAAGACACTTTAATGGATATTCTTGTTCTTCTTTTGCAAGAGCATCTGAAATGAAAGAGAACCAGATGCTTGTTCATCATGATACAATTCCAACTTTACTGTCATCTGGAAAGCAAGTCCTTCAATTAGGTAGTGAGTATTCTCCCATTGGCGAGCCAGTTATGAAATCTGGAGCTGCATTACAAGCTTCAGGTTTGTTTTCTGCTAGAAACTAGTAGTTTAACTTACTGAAGGCTGCCTTTCCTTAGAATGTTCAAAGTAGTGAACCACTTCAAATTTTAATTATCACAATAAAAAATTCAAAATTTTAATTTATACAAGGTACAATTTTACAGCAAAGAAACTTCATCATTTTCTTTGTTATGATAACTTGTTGCCTAAAAATCATACCTGTCTGTCTCTTCCTTTCTGTTGGCTTGAAGTAGACTGTGAGTCATATTTTGGTATCCTATCACTGATTACCATCTTTGTCAGATTCACCAAAATTGAAAAATCTC